CCTTAATCAGCTCTCAGTATGCACGGTTTTGCATCCTAAGCCTAAACACATGATCATTTATACTTGTTAGCTTGCACTTCACTTTCTCCTGTCTATATCTACTTTTCCCCAGCAAGACCTTAGACCATAATATCCTTTCAGTCTCTTCTGGTCAGCCTTAGGTAAATAGATAAAAGATTACTGGTCAATATTATAACTTATTAATTGATACAAGGAAAATAATTGGGATGCATGCATTCTATATAGAACTTAAGATAGTTCAATATGTTCAGAATAAAAATAAATTAAAATTATGTGATATAACAATGACACAGCGTAAACATAGTTAAGACTTGATGTCAAATATTTCTAAATTTAACTAGACATAAAAATATTCAGGAAAATGTTTTAATGCTGGCTTTATATTTTATGCTAACACAGAAGATCCTTTTTAGAGGAGATCTCTTATAATATTACTTTCCTATTTGGTTATTAACCTAAGTGATGTTATTTTACTGGATTTCACATGTGCCGCAGATCCTGCTGGGAAAGCATAAAACTGGACTCATTTAAGATGAGGCAATGTGGCAATATGAGAAAAGCGGCCATATGTGAAATCTCACTTTATGCCTGTTGAAATTTTTGTATTTCAGGTCTCCTAGGGACATGTCCATTGTGCTATTGTATAATTTTATCAGCATGAACTTCTGCTGAATATTTTCTCTTCTTTTCAAAACCCATATTTTTGTAGAGCTAACTTCAAAGCTTAATGTTGCAACATCTGTGCCCATACACCTGGGAGCCTTAGAAGATGCATCCTGAAGATTATCTACATTTTCTAATCTTATAGAATGCCACAAAATTAGAGAAAAAGGTCATATATTTTTCCTGGTCTGGAACTTTTTGAAAGAAACCCATTTATATCTCCTTAGAAAGATTCTCAAAATAAAAGAGAAGCAATGTTTATAAAACTATAAAAAACATCCCTACAGATGTAATAGAAAATGCATTTGTTTTTGTTTACAGATAAGAACAAGTCTTAATACATATGTCCAACTTTCCATTAAGAGATGCTGTGAATATATACAAAACTTAGAGCTATTTTCTCAAAAATGTTTTCAAACAAGACTCTTTTATACCTATAGAGTACAAAAGAAAATTCTATTACTTTGAACTTATTTATTACTTTTATTCAGTGGATCTACCAATAAATCAATGGCTGCTTTTTTATGAACCATTATGTTACACAACTGAAGCTGATGCCATTTGTAATTAACTAGTTATCAATAATGGGAAAGGAGCAAAGGGAAGGTCAGACATTGTAGTCATGTCATTTGGGCAGATTCACCAGGAGGCTGCAACTCTGTACTCCCCATGGAAACACCGGCTCAGTCCCTGCAGATCACTGGGGGAAGGGGTCCAACAAAGGGGGAATAGATGTATGCACAGTGAAGTTGGGGTAACATAGGGAATGTACGTGCCTGTCAATCTAACTGGGGAACCATAGATTGGCCAGAATGGGTGTGGCCTCTGCAAACCCACAAAAAAATTGGGATACATAATCCCCTAAATGGAGGAGCTGGCTCTCTCCTGTTGCTCTGCTGGCTCTTGGCTCATGGGGCTCTCTCATTCCTGCTTCCTTGCATTCTCCTATATGGCCCATGGCCATGTGGACCCCACACACAATGGACTGATGGACTGCAATGGGAAACACACATTAAGCTAGCCTGATGATGTACTGCACTGCTCTCTGGACACTGACTCTAATTGTAGCCCGATTGAAGCCACAGCTACACCTCTTTTGTGGTGGGACTGAGGGAAATGGGACCTTGGAAACTGGGATTTATTTCCATGCAAATAAAAATCACTCGTCCTCCCGTGCGAATCTCAGAAAATTCTTTTTCTTGGGATAATGAAAGAATTCCACGCCCACAAACAGGTGGGGATGAGCACCTCTTGCCACCAGTAACAAAACTAACATCATGTTATATGTCAATTACATCTCAGTAAAAAATAAAAATTATGGTTGACTCAGAATTTCTCAAACAGAAGATTGAGATCTTGACAAAGAGAAAGGATTTTATGAATAAGAGAGATGCCTCCCATCTCACCTTTCATTAATTATTTTACTTTTATAGAATAGAATATGCACATTGAAACTCCCTGCAGGTTATGGTGCTAAAAATGAAATGTGCAGAACACTTTTTAATTGAAAGACAACGTAGTGTATGTGAAGTTTATATAGATTCAAATAGTTAGGAAGGACCATGAATGAATTTGAGGAACTCCACATGTGGACTATCTCAACTTTGTCATCAATTTGTCAAATTATGATAAATACTAAATGCTTATGGAGTACTTTCTACGTCCCAGGTATTGTTATAATTGCTTTTCATGTCTTAACTCAAATTTTCACCACAACTGTATGTGACTTTTCACAATCTTACAAACAAGGAAAGTGAGACGTTGAAAGATTAAGTAACTGCAGCCACTATGGAAAACAGTGTGGGATTCCCTCAAAAAATTAAATATGGAACTGCCATTTGACCCAGTGATACCACTTCTAGAATATATCCTAAAGAAACCCAAAACACCAATCAGAAAGAATGTATGAACCCCTATGTTCATAGCAGCACAATTTACAATAGCTAAGATCTGAAAACAGCCCAAGTGTCCGTCAGTAGATGAGTGGATAAAAAAGCTGTGGGACATTTACACCATGGAATACTACGCGGCTGTAAGAAAGAAGTCTCTCTTACCCTTTGGGACAGCAGGGAGGGACGTGGAGAGTATCATGCTAAGCGAAATAGGCCAGTAAGAGAAAGACAAGTATCATACGATCTCACTCATACATGGACTATAATGAACAAAATAAACTGATGAACAAAATAGCTCCGGAGACATAGAAGCATGGAACAGACTGATGAATTTCAGAGGGAAGGCAGGGGTGGGGAACTGGGTGGGGAGAGATTCAGCAAAGAACTTCTATGCATAAATGCTTAACCCATGGACACAGACAATAGTGTGGGGAAGGCCTAGGCGTGGGGCGGATGCGGGGTGGAGGGATCAATGGGGAGGGAAAGGGATATCTGTAATGCTTTCAACAATAAAGATAATTTAAAAAAGAAAAGAAAGATTAAATAAGTTGTCCAGGGTCGCCCAGCTTGCTAAGTAGGGGCAGAGCTAGAGCAGAGCGCCCTGAACCTAAGTTGCCTCACTTCCCTTTGGTTACTTTTCTTATATGTAACAGGACAGCTTTTAACACTTGCTTTGAAGCAAATAATAAAATAATAAAGATGATGCATTTTAAGTTATTTCAAACTTAAACAGAAATAGTCAAGACATGGGCAAATTAAATATCTGTGGTAAAGAAGGGAAGGGGAAACGTGGTTTAATTCATTCCCACAGGCATTATTACTCTCCTAAAGATAAAAGTCAAATTTTAACAAAAAACATGAAAAAGTTTTGACGGGCAAGTAGCAGAAGGCGACCTCGTCTCTTTCTCACATGCCATTTCGCTGTTTGCAGAAGAGGACTGGTATTCTCACAAGGGAGAGGCAAACAGTGGGTAGTGAGCTAACTCCTCAGGAATCAGGGGAGCACCCAATGCTAGAAGAGCCGCTGCGAGAAGGGTGACTTGTCCCTGTGTGCTGAACATATTTTTCCCCCCTGAAGGTCAGATTAGTAAGAGCAATATGAACACCCACATGATGTTCCTCATTTGCATGTCTTGATGTGCAATATACAAAGTAAATAATTTCTACTATGGAGAAATTAAGCAGGCAGGCACCATTGGCTATTTTACATTTTATAAGAACTACTGAAGGGAGCAATGCCATGTAACTGCATCTAAAGTAAGGGTTGTAGCAAATGTCTGTTGTCATCGTCAGACATGAAATACTCCAAACATACCACTTACTTGACTTGCCAGGAGTGCGGTGTCATGAGCCTGAACTAGGATTTGCAATAGAGAAAGGTTATCATACGCATAGACATGGAAGAATACTGAGTTCTAAATGCAGTGGAAATTTTTTTAAAAGGTGTCAAAATCACTAGCATGGCTCACTAATTAAATGGCACCCATGCCCCTGTCAAGAAGCGTTCATAATTTGGAAGCTGTAGCTACTACTGACCTGATTTTACAATTGAGATCATGTCTGCATTTTAATTTGGAAACAAAATTGATCACTGGGTTCTATAAACAAGGCCTGTCAAGTTATTACTTTGCAACTGCTTTGCAAACACGTATTTATTTAAGAGCATTGTGACTTATGATACAGTGCACAGAGAAATGATTACACTTCATATTTCATATGTTAGTTTCTTTTAAGAGATTGCTTTATATATGAAAACGGAATTCTTCCAGTTCTTCAATAAATATTGAATTTCTTTGATAATGGATTTTTAAGATAGATTGAAAAAAAGATTTCTATCTTCAATATATTTACTTCTTGCCCCAAATACTGCTTTAAAATTTACAGTGTTCATTCCTCTTATGGCTTCAAAGATCATTATAATGCTCAGTTATTTTTTAACAGTACTCAATATTATGGCATCTTAATATTACCAGACAAAGCTTGCAATGTAGAAGGTTCATATAATGTGCATATTTTACATAAATTGTTTCCTTAATCACTAACATATGAAGGATGACAGAATGAAATCCATACAACAGGTGATGTTTGTTTTATAGCCATTTCAAATTTTCTAAGACTCATCCATCTAGTTCATAATTTTGATTTCTTATAGGCTCTCTCAATACTAAAATCTTTAAATTAAATTGAATCTAAATGAAAAAAAAAACACATTTTCGTACTATTAGGAAGGGCAAAAAACTGTTATAAGTATCTTTTCTTGCTACTTGATTATATTCTACTCACAAAAGTAGGTTGATGATTAAAGAAATGTTCATTTCCCCCCTTACCAGACTGCGACTATATACCGATGACTCTGACAGTGAATTCTAGGCAGGAATCCAAAGAAACTCTCTATTTTGATGGTTAATTTCAGAGCAGTCCTACCTTTTCCACTTTCTTTCTCTCCTTGGTCATCTGTTAGCAGAATCACTTCTGGTTGCTCCGCAGTCGTGGCATCTTCTTGGTTGGACGAAAGCTCTAAATAGAATGAGACAGAAGGATACTCAGGGGATGTTTCAGTTGAAATCACTGACAAAACACACTTACCAAAGCACAGAAAGTGAAAGTTCTTCCCACCCCCTCCAAATCTTAGCAGGCCTACCAAGCAGAGCACTATTGCCGTTCTCTGCAAATCACTGCCCGAAACACACGCACCCCGCTCACACCCCAGAGCCTGCAGGGGCCGCGCTCGCGGTTTCCCCGCTCTCTCTGCTAACACCGCGGGCTGGTCTCGGTACCTTCTGTTTCCATGTACGAGCTCTGCGACTCGGCCTCAATTTGTATCTCATCCTTCATTGAATTGTTCTGTCCTCCTGTTAAAAAGAACGATTGAAAAATAAAAGAAATGTGATATGTATGGCCACAGCTTAAACCCTGGTTTCAAAAAGCAAAACTTTCAGAAACCGCACTTTGATCACGCGTGAAGAGGTAGATAATAGTTTAGAACAAAGACACCATTTTGCAGATCATCAAATTTATCTCAATGATTGAAAAATATGTATAAAAAAAGATAATTTAGACAAAAACTTCTTTGAGCTGACCGGTGTGATTAGTGTTTGGTTTATGAATGTGCTAACAGCAATGGACACAACCTGGAAGCTTTGACATTTTAAATCATTTCTGGGCTGCGTGAGTGAAGTACATTTAATTTTCCTTTAAGATATTGATATTTCCTGGATTGAGGATCACTGGAAAATTAAAACCTACTTGCATTTTCATTCTTCCATGAGCATGAAAGACTTGAGTCGTGTGAACACACACCGACGGGGTCACCTAACAGCTCAACTATTCTCTAATGCAGCAGAGGTCAGGAGGGTTCAGCCAACCCACGGTTACTCTGAGGCCGATCACCTAGTAATGGTTGTCCTCCCCACCCTGGCTTCTCTCCCTCCCCTTCCCGGTAGAGTTTAGAACATCTAAGTGCTCATTAAGAGAGAAAATTGAAATCTGTCCATTTTGCCTCATATTAATAAAAGATTTGATGCTGAGGATATTTTACTGTTTAATTTCCCCTTTATTATAGGATCCATCAAAATCTGTAAATAGTAATGAGGGACTGTGACTTACTTATCACACCTTTTAGCAGTAAGTTCATTCCTTAGGCTACTAAGCTCTCAATATACCCTATTGCAAAGAACCCTGGAAAGAGAATTGGATGCTCTTTGGGCTTTATTTTCATTATTATTTATTCATTAAACATATCTTTACTGATTTCAGAAAGAGGAAGGGAGAGGGAGAGAGAGAGAGAAACGTCAATGATGAGAGTCATTGATCGGCTGCCTCCTGCACGCCCCCTCCTGGGGATGGAGCCCGCAACCCGGGCATGTGCCCTGACCAGGAATCAAACTGCCATCTCCTGGATCCTCGGTCTATGCTCAACCACTAAGCCATGCCAGCTGGGCCATTATTAATTTTTTAAGGCCAAAAAAACCACAACTAGATAATATCTTAGATTCTATCTTTGGCTGTATATGAGGATATTTCCCCTCATAAAGTTTCTAGTCACACTGCATTTATTTATTGGGAAGAGGCTACCGAAAGGGAACCACACTGTTTATTGAGTGAGACTCATTTTCTACCCCCATGGATACTGGGAACTCTCCAGGTCATTGCTGGGACCTGAACTCATTACTTGTGTTCTGTGCAATGGAGAGAGGGAGTAGGAGCAGCCACCCTGAGGTCTTGTGTGCACCCAGTCCCGTCGCTCCACTCGATGCCTTTTAGGGGAAAGCTATGAGGAACAGGGAGAGCACAGTGCAGCAGGGCCCGGAGCGCGGCTGCTACGGTGGGGCTGCTGATGGACACCAGGGATTTCTCCGTCACTAGTAAGGTCCAGCCCGTCACTTTGTGGGTGAGAGGCCATTGCATGACTTTTGTGGAGTATTTCTCTCCCCTGCTTTTTTTCACTCGTCCCACTCTTGATCCATTTCACCCATATATTTACACATTTTAGCAATCTTTGCTTGAAATGAAAAAATATATATTTTCTCCATTCTAATTTTTCTGAAAGTTAGTAAAAATATAAGGGAAGAAATGAGGTATAAGGCTTTGAAATCCAAGAATAACCATTTTTTCTCATTCCAGAACCAGGCCAGGAATTGGCATATCAGACAGAGGAGGTATGTGTGAATTCCCTGCCCCCCCCCCCCC